AAAAAGGTGGGAACCCCTCAGCCCAGGCTAGGAGGGGCTCTTTGGGAGCTTAGTGGATTCCCTGCAGCCTAGCATGAGTGGGGTCCACAGATGCTGGAGAGGCCTTCCTGTTCACAGGGCTTCCTGTCCACAGCCCTGCTGAATACAGGCCACTGATAGAAGCCCTTGGAATAAATGTCAACCCTGACTAGAAAGGGGAGGACTGGCCCCCTTAGGAGGCACCTGGTTTGTCTGCTTGGAGGGTCATGTTGGTTGGTTTAATTAAAAAAAACCTTGCCAGGGAAAAACAAAACAAAAAACAGCCCCCAATGCATTTGAGGAAAGAATGGCAGACTTTTCTCCAGAGTTTCACATTCTGAAGTATTCTTGAGGGCATGATGTGGATAGGGACCCAAAAGGATCCAAAATAGGCTTGTTCCCCTCCCCCCTTGGATCCCTTTTTACCACTGGTGCCCCTCTGACCATATTGCCAATCAGCATCTCATGCAGATGGCTGGTCTTTCTAGCTAAGCTGGGAGCTCTCTCTACAAAGAAAGGCCTATGGTGCTTCAACCACAGATAGATAAAGCTTTTTAAGCCAGGCCAGTGCATCAGCTTTGCTGTTTGTTGGCTTTCTGTGATTATGCATGGTCAAGGCAAGTCAGATATTTATCATTTGGGGCTAGAATAAATACACTGAGAGGTGTATAGTTTATATTCAGGTATACTTTATACACAGGTATAAAGTTTCAGAGCAAGTCAATAATAGGGGTCATAGGAGGCATCCCAAACCAATACATGCCAGTTTGACCAATGTCATCTAAAATAGCTTAGCTTTGATTTTTTTTCAGCCAGTGTCAAAAGAGAGACTCTAAAATTGTTACTATGTGTCCATGTCTGATGCTACACCATTTTATTTTTTCTAGAAATGCTCTTAAGTGAATTCTGATTAGAATCATTCCCTCCCCCCAAAAAAAACCTTTATCCCAATTCTAGGTTGTCAGAGCAGAATAAAAAGTAAAGTGAAAGGCCCTCCAGCTCAGAAACTCTACAGATATCAGTTGGGTAAATATTCAGGAAGAAAATGAATCGTTCTCTGCTGCTCTCATCCCCAAGTTGTTCAGCTGGAACACCTACAAGGATGTTGTACTTGGGAAAACAGCATGTGGCTGCTCCTGTCTGTTGGTGTATTGTCTGTGGCGGCTTTCATGCTACAACAACAGAGCTGGGTTGTGACAGAGACTGCATGGCCTGCAAAGCCTGAACTATTCACTGTCTGGCCCTTTACCATAGAAGTTTGCCAACCCCTACGTGAGATCATCATCCCACTCACTTTATAGATAAGCAATCTAAGGTAGGAAAGTAAAGTGACTTCGTAGCACTTTGTATAGGGTTCGTTCTATTGCAGTTACTCTTGTCTGTGCCTGTCCTTTCTACTGGAAGGAACACAATCTTTTCCCCACACTGTTTTTCATCTAAGCACTTACTGATAAAGGTTTGTTGAATTGCACTGACTTGCCCAGAGCAACAGGGGCAGTTTGCAGTGGAGCCTGGGTTAAAACCCAGATATACAGTTTCACGCGCCAATGGTGAGAACCACCAACAAGCTATGGAACTGGATGAGTTAATGATCCTCTCTGAGCCTCAGTTTCCTCATCTGCAAAATGGAGGTTATAATCCATCCTTGTAGGGCTTTTGTGAGAAATTGTTGAGATCAGATATGTATGGAATAGGCCCTCCATAAGTAAGGATTCCCTCCCCACTCCTTTCTCTCTCTACACTGGAGCCCCTGAACTGTTAGGGTTTCCTGAGGAAACTGAACCACATACTTGTGCACCTCCTGCTAGAGACGAGAGCCCGTGCTCACCTCTTTGGGAGATACAAAGAGTGTTTCCCCATGCAGTGGCAATGATGAGCCTGATGCTGTAGCTACCCCTCCACACCTCACCCAGGCTGGCAACAGAGGAAGGGAGAGGCCCAGATGTCTTTCCTGTTTCTGTTTCTCTCCAGAGGGAGCTGGCTCACACTGCCCTCCATCTCTCTTCCTACTGCTTAGACTTCTCGAGCACCTGTGGCTCTGACCTCGCCTCCTCAGCCTCCCTCCCTGGTTCCTACCACTCTGTCTGGTTATGCCCCACTTCTCTCTGACTTCTTCACTTCGGAGCATGGCTGATTGAATAAGCCGCTTCCTAGGCCCCCTGCTTTCCTGGGGTGATGCTCAAAGAGGGAAACCATTAGTCAAGGAGAGGTGTGAGTCAGTACATCAACAGGAGTGAGAGAGTAAGGCACGTTTATTTTCATGTTAAAGTGAAACAGTTTACAGGGGTGAGGACACACTCTTGCATAAACTGCAAAAATGAATGCCAACACAGTTTACTAGATCAACAATTGGATTTCCAGAGAATTGTTTCATGAATTCAAAACTGAATGGCTTGCTCTCAGTCTATCAGTGAAGTGCAGGACAATCTATCTCCCTCTGACCAGATCATAGGTAGTGGCCAGGAAACACAGACATAAAGATACAAGCAAAAACAGTTCTCTCTCTCTCTCTCTCTCCATCTCTCCCTCTCTCTCTCTCTCTCTGGCTTTTAGACACCGGAGATGAAATCCAAATCCAGATATTTTAAAAACCATTTCAAAATAGCCACAGTTCTTATTATTTGGACTAATTTTTAGTGAGGAGTTGTTAATGCTGGAAAGTACTAACTATAGGTTTTTTACTTTATTTTATTTTATTAAAGATTTTATTTATTTATTTGTGAGAGAGAGAGAGCTTGCACAAGCAGGGGGAGTGGCAGGCAGAGACAGAAGCAGGCTCCCCACTGATCAGAGAGCCCAATGCAGGGCTCGATCCCAGGACCCTGGGACCATGACCTGAGCCAAAGGCAGACACTTAACCAACTGAGCCACCCCGGTGTCCCTCAGAGATTTTATTTTTAAGCAATCTCTACACCAAATGTGGGGCTCAAACTGACAACCCCAAGATCAAGAGTCGCATGCTTCACTGACTGAGCCAGCCAGGCACCCTTAGATTTTTAATTTTAAATAAATACAGATTGACTTTCAAGTATAGCCAGTAATTCAACCTGTTCCGTTTTTTTTTTTTTCAATAACGCTGTTAATTAAAATTCATATTGGATTTGTTTCAGCAAATAAGAACAGAATTGTGATCGGCACCACTCTCACTGGTTGGCCAAGAGCTGCTACTAATGCCCTAGAAGAGTCTCTTAAGTAGGTTACAAATTCTCCTTTGAAATCATGATTATGCTTCACTTGTTTCACAAGCTCTGCTTTGATGATCTAGTCCTCGCAAAATGGAAAATTCAGAATTTGTAGAGTTTAAATAAAAACAGAATCACTGATAATGACCGGGAGGCAAGTCAGAGGCATTTTGAAAATTGCTGGCCTGATGTACATGAAGGCATTAGATGCACTTCTCAGAGGAGAGTGCCAGGCTTCATGGCCACCCTCAGCAAGGCCCTGAGGACTTCATCTGGGGGGAGGCCCTTGTCTCTTCATATTAAATGATGTAATGCTCTGAGCCTCCCTTTCTTTTTGAAGTTTCTGGCTTCAAGGAGCTGACAGGAAATAGCACTGAATGGGGAGTTCGGATACTGGGTTCCCATTCTGGTTCTGATACCTGCTGGTTATATAACCTTGCGTAGGACATTTCGTCTTTGGGGGCCATCTGCAAATATGGCAGGTGGAGCTCAGTTGACCAAACCAGACAAATAACCACTGTGTAGGGCCACCTAGAACGAAACTCGCTTGGATGATGATCGTTAAACAGGGCCTTTTGGTGACTAGTTGGACTCTGTCATTTCTGCCAGAGAAGGGAAGGGAGGGACCCGTCCAAGGTCACACTGTTAGTTAGAGGCAGAATCACATTAGAACCCAGATTTCCTGGCTCCTACTTCTGTGCTCCGGCCAGAATACCACATCATCTCAAAAATCCTAAAGGAAGTACATTTCATCTCTCTTGCATCATATATCTCCCAGACACGCTGCTGAATTTGGTCTCCATCCTGCCCACTCATCAAAACCGCTCTGGATTAAGTAGCTAAGTCCTTCCATTCTTTGCATGCAAAATTCTGCCCACACCAGTGGCTTCTCTGAGACATGAAAGAGGCAGGCTGAGAGCCAACCTTTGCCCGAACCCACCCTTTAGGAGCAGGAAAGAAACAGGGTCTGTGTTCCCTAGGGTACCTCACTTTGGAGTCAAGGAACGAAAACTTTGAGATGAATTTTCAGAGATCACTTCCCCACTTTAATCTTATCTTGCAGGTTATTGAGCCATGCAATGAACTTAGAAGGAAGGTCCCTCACAGGGGCACAGATATTCTTAAAAAAGAATTCTGGAGCCAAGAGAAAGCCTCAGGGCTGGAGTTCTGGTATCTGGCCTCCACTCGACAAGAGAGAGGGCCCTGCACCCAAGGCTAGCTTGTCAGTGGATGAGTGGAGCTCTCATCTCCAATATATCAAAAACAAAAACAAAAAACTTCCACCTTGTCAGACCCCATCCAAGCCACTAACTCCAAATCTGGAATGTGAACAAACAGGATTAAATGAGAGAGAAGGTGCTAGATGAACCCTAAACACCATGCACATGGAAGAGATTATCATTTTTCCCTGCCTGATAACTCCTTGGATATTCTCCAAAGCCCAGCTCAAATGTCACTTCCAAACACCCAGTCAGACCAACCCAAGTTCAAATCTTAGCTCCACTGCCTATTCGCTGTGTGACCTTGAACAGTGCTTTAAATTCATTAGGCCTCCGTTTCTTCCCCTGCCAATGGTGGATCGTAATAATAACCATCGGATGATTGGGAGCTGAGCCAAGGTCACTCTTGCCAAGCACCTGGCAAAGAATAGGGCTTTAAATGTTGAATGAATAGCAAAGGGAAGCAGAGCACCCATCTCTTGAGGCCTGACCCAGCAATTTCTACTCTACAGTCACTGGTCTCTCCCCTCATCTTTTTACCCCAAAGGGGCTACAGAAATTTGAGCCAGCCTGTCCTTACCTTGCTGAGGTCCCCTAGGGCCATGACCTTGGCCACTGGCCTCCTGCTGAGCTGCTCCTTCACCCAGACCTCGAGCTGCTTATTCCACTTCATGGTGAACACATATAAAGCATAGGCCAGCAGTAACAGCAGGCTTTCCCACCAGGTAATGAGGCTGTCCAGGAAGAAGAGAATGAGCATTATCAGGTCAAGGATGTAGAAAGAGACATCACGGAATAAGGGCCACCATGTGAGATTGAGGATCTCCCGGGAGAAGAGGGCACAGGTGCCGATGACAAAGAGGATGTTGAACACAGCAGAGCCCACGATGGTACCAATGCCCACGTTGCTGTGAGAGATGAAGACACCAATGAGGGAGGTGAAGAGCTCAGGGGCAGAGCCTCCAGCAGCCATGAAGGTGGCACCTGCCACATCATCTGAGATCTGCAGTTTATCTGTGATGACACCCAGGGCTGGGACAAAGTACTCGTCACACACGATGGCCAAGGCCACAAACACGTACATCATGCCAAAGATGTGCAGGACCACCCAGCCCTGTCGCCGCTCCTCTATGCTGAACAAGTCTGGGGGGTACTCTGCCTTGGAGTGAAGGTCTGGCCACCCAGGAGGCAGCGCTGAGGGATTGGAACTGGGTGCCTCTGGGATCATAGCTGTTGTCAGGCTGGGGGAGGGAGCAGGGGGCACCGCTGGGGCTGGCTCCACAACCACACAGTGACGGACCTGGATGGTTGGATTTGCCCTGACCTTGGAGGGTGATGAGGGCCTGGGTGCCATGGAAGATTTCTTTGCCAGCCCCCGGAAGGTGGCGGAGGATATTCCACTGGTCGACACGCTGGTTCCAGATAAGGGATTACTAATACTCCAGGTAGCGGTAGAGGCTTTGGTTTCTGTTGGGCCACTGCCTGTTGGGGTGGTGCGTATTGTCACTCGCCCCTCCGAGATGGCTGTGGTGTGCTCCAGGCCCATTCCCAGGGGCGCCGTCAGCTTGTTCTTTCCCACTAACCCCCGGGGCTTGGTCGATCTGTTATTATTCACTCTTCTGGGGGTAGTCAGGGTGTTCTCTTCCGTCATACTCCTTGGAGAAGTCAAGATGTTTGTTTCCATGTCATTTATCAGGGAAGTTGGCGTTTTATTAATTATTCCCTTGAGAGTAGTTGGGGTGGTTTCCTCTACTATTCTCTTAGAGGGGTTGGTCTCCAATATTTTGGTGGTTGTCATAGTTTCACTGTCTTTCACTGTTGTTCTGGGGGTGATCCCATGGCTCTCTGTCATTGTCATGAGTGTGGATGGGGCATAAGTGCTTACTAGTCTACCAAGTGGAGATGGGGTATATTTCATCACCTTTCTCCCAGCCTGAGTTGGGTGATAGCTCTGCATTTCTACCCTGGGTGATGTTGTTGGGGTATGATTCTTTACTGTTGGCCTTTTTGAAGTTGGGGTGTAGTGATTCAGTACTCTACTGGGTGTGATTGTGGTGTCTTCCTTCGTTCTTTCTGTGTCTGCAGCTGTTAGGCTGTAGTTATTCTTGGGCATTGTTGGAGTGATGTTGGCTGTCCTTCTGGGTGGATTGGGGGTATTCTCCATTGTTATGCCACGTGTTGCCTCATCCTTGCCCACTGTAGTTTGGGGCACCCGTGTGTCACCCATCATTTCAGAGCTAGCTCTTGGAGGGTCACTGCTCACCATCATCATATCGTTGTTAGGGAGGTCACGGCTGGCCAGTTTTACAGGGTGTTGGGAGGAGACTGCTGCCCACAATGAGGGGAGGCCCCGGGGGCTCCTCAGATGCTGGTAGGCAGAACCGATGATCAACATTCCCAACAGGAAGAAGAGTCGACTCCAAAGAAGCCGCTTTGGCCAGAGTAACCGCCTCTTCCGTGTTCCCATTCTGATCAATTTCCCCATGATGGCCAGTTATGCCTGGTTACAGAAGACCTCTCATTCTGTCCATGGAAAGATGGGGTCTGTTCTGGGATTCAGGTTGGTGATCAGTGAAGATTTCTCCATGAAGCCCAGCCAGGGGGTATCCACAAACCTGAGGGAGGGTAAAAAAAAAAAAAGAGGTTATTTGCCCCTAAGAGGAGAGCTGGGAGCCATCAAACCATCACCTAGAAAAGAGTGATGACAATTCATATAGAGGCCTTTGTGCTAGGAAGCAGTTGTTTCTGCTGGAACAAAACTACCCCTACTGCCTGTTCCAGAGAAAAATGCCCGCTCTTAGGAAAAAGCATTAGAGGTCCTCTGTGCTGCGTAGGCATGCCAACAGCCCAGGTTCCTGAGCTGGGTCTACCTCACCCTCTTTGGGATCCCTGCGAGAGGTCTGCCAGCACCCCTCAGGTCCAAGCCTGAGTTGCTGGGAGCCAGTCATCCACAGTTGGTGCCCCAGGCCACAGATCTCACCTTGTCAAAGGCAGGAGGAAGATAAGGAGACAAGATTTTAAGCTTTAGACAAAAATAGGCAGCAGAAGAAGGCAGTGCTAGAAACATCAAGACTCCGTGTGGGTGTTTTTTGGTTTTTTGGTTTGGGACCCATTTAAAACAATTCCATGGTATCACCCAGAGAGGACAAAGCTAATGTCATGATGCTTCCCAGACAGTGTGGTGTGGTGGGAAGAACATGGAGAATGGAGTCAAAGGCCTGGATTTCCAGCCCTGCTGCTTTCCAGCTGTGCCACCCTGGACAGGCGAACCTCATTGCCTCATCTGTGAAATAAACGTGTTAACATATGGGTTGATTATGCAAAGATGATCCTTGGAAGGACATCTGGAGAAGGGAAACAGAGATCGGGGTCTGAGGAAGACTTACTTTTCAGTAAATCCTGATGTTCAGTTTAACTGTTTAACCTTTTTATCCTGTGCCGTTTCATGATATTTTAAATTTAAATTTAATTTATTTTAATAGAAATAACAATAGGGGGCGCCCGGGTGGCTGTTGGTTAAGTGGCTGCCTTCAGCTCAGGTCATGATCCCAGGGTCCTGGAATCAAGCCCCACATTGGGCTCCCTGTTCAGCGGGAAACCTGCTTCTCCCTCTCCCTCTGCCTGCCGCTCTGCCTACTTGTGCTCTCTATCTCTCTGTCAAATAAAGAAATACAATCTTTAAAAAAAAAAAAAGAAATAACAATAGTAACAACACATACCTATGTCACAGGAATGTTGAGAGAGTAAAAACACATAAGGTCTATGAAAAGCATTGTACAGAATCAAGTGCTACATAAGGGTTAATTTTATATAAAATTTTAATTTTATAGTTTTATATAAAGGTTTAATTTTATATTCTTCAGGAGGGGAAGAAGAACATGAAGGGCTCTGAAAAAATCCTCAATTTATAAAGAAGGGCACTGAGGTCCAGCCCAAGTAAATATTTATTAAATCTCTAGTGTCTGCAGATTATTATAAAACAATAACTAGAAATGGTTGGTTTTGCATTTAAAGGAATATATTAGAAGTGAGATGAGTGACTCATGGAGTCTCAGGTCATTAAAGGTAGGAGGACTTACAGACACTAGTTAGTGTAACTCCCCATTTGGGACCTGAAGAAGCTGAGATCCAGAGAGGAGCTGGACTTGCTCAACCTGACACAGCTTGTGAGTGGCTGCGCAGGTGAGCCTTCTAATGCCCCAATCTTCCCAGCAGGCCACACTAATTAGAGACGCAAATGCATTTGTCTTTTTTTTTTTTTTAAGATTTTATTTATTTGAGAGAGAGAGCGCACGCACATGGGAGAGGGGAGGGTCAGAGGGAGAAGCAGACTCCCTGC